TCCTGCCAATGCTGATCTGGCACCATGGTCTCTGTGCCTTCTGTTCTTCTCAGAATCTCCTTGGTTTTCCACCATGATCTTGAAGTTACTACAGACTGTCCGACAAACCGACTCGACTCGTAGAACTCCGGGCCGGGATTCTTCCCCCTGTATTCTCCACCGCGATCCCACTCTTTTACCCACATTCTGGTTCTTAATCATTTGTACCCAGTCTGCTGGAATGGCGTCCAACAGTTCCTGTCTGTGTTTTCCCACCTCTCTCAGACCTCTCAATTTCCGCTTGATTTCTTCCAGTGTGATCTCTTCTCCCCGGCAAGTCTGCTGAGATCAGATGACGGACCTTCCATATGCCTCGCTGCATCCACTCTCGACCAAAGTTTCCTCGACGACTGTTAGTAACGGAAAAAAGTATTGCCTGCGATGTCGGCGACAGAGCGGTTTTCGAACAGACATGTGTCAACTGCTTCCAAGCGATTTGTGGGGCCGGTAAGCGTATACGGAAGTATTTTACTCCAAGATTTGAGAATGGGGCGCCACGTACGGCTCTTAACTGATGTGACAAAGAGATGCATCAGCATAGCCTGCCAGACCGCTTCTGGGCCGTTAAGGCCCCAGTCCCCGGATAGGCGTAATACCATCCATGGCTGATTGTATGTTGAGGTCAGGAGACGAACTGGAAATTTGGCCAGAAGAGCATCATTTTGTTTTTCTGGGTCCAAAATGCCCAGTCCACCTTGTGATTTCTTCTCTGTTATCTTCCACCAGGCGACCTTGTTCATACAGGCTGGTACGCTGGAATCACCTTTCCACAAATAACGCTTTTACTAGTAACTGTCTGACTACGGTAGTTGTGCTGAGGTTGGAGGAATAGATCGGATTGATAATATATACCAGCAAGTACTAGAGAGTATAGTTGTAGCGGACCTCTGGTTGGCCTATGAGACCAGCCCCTTGGCCTGTTCTCACAGGCCTGTGTTCTATTCGGGGGCACTCCAATCCAGTCCAGTCCAGGCCAGGCCGGTACCTCTGTCGGTACCAGCCAGTCCAGTCCAGTCAGTCCGCTGGGGTATACCCCAGCAGTTGTCTGTTTCGTCATCATTCTTCACTTGCACATTTTGGAGTACGAGCGCTGGAGTCTTGCGTGGGGAGCTGCGCTGTGCATCTTGCTCCCCCTTCTTCCTCCATCTCCATCTCTATCACTAGCGGAGCACCACACCTGGTGGGTCTGCTACATTGGTATCGAAGCGGGAACGTTCCCCACTCCCACCCACCACACCGCACAGCAGGGAAAAACAGCAAAACCCGACAGTCGGGTTTTTGGCTGTTTTTCGGGCGTTTTCGGGTGAAAAAGCGGGAAAAAGGTGCTGCAGCAGGAGATCAACACATGACAAAGGCCGCCGCACACGCACACGCGCCACATGCTGCCCCGCTGACCCACCCCGCCCCGCTCCAAGATTATATTAATCAAGATCCGGGATGCATGCTGTTGCTGGGGTTTGAACCCAGGCACCTGCTGGCCATGCGCGTGCGTGTACCACCCTCATAACACACTGGCCACGATCTATGCATAACCCCCCCCCCCCCCCCCCCCCCCCCCCCCCGTGGCTGCTGCTGCCTGTGCACGTGGCCACCTGCAGTGCCACGTGGCACTTTGCTGTGAACCGAAGACCCCCCTGGTTAGGGGGCTGCGCCACAACATTATTATTATTATTTTTTTTTACTCTCTCTACTGCTGCAGCAGCAGCTTCGCAGCAGCTCAAGATTTCCCCCTGGCTAGGGGGCTGTGTGACTGCGGCAGTAGGGTGGCTGATCAAGATCTCAGCCAACCTAACATCATCATCATCACCCATTAGGGTATGCTCACACAGCACACCCTGGATCTGCAGTGCTGCAACTACCCATTAGGGTATGCTCACACAGCACACCCTGGATCTGCAGTGCTGCAACTAGGGGCTGATCAAGATCTCAGCCCCCCGTACATCCTCCAGTTGGTTGGCTGCAGCGAAGGCCAAGACCCTCCTGGTCTTGGTATACCTTGTGCCCTTGGAGACACCAAGGGCCAGGTATCATCTCTCTCTCCCCTTTTCTTTCCCCACCTTCCACTGCCTCTCTCCCCTCCTCCTTTTACCTTCCCCACCCCACCTTTTCTCCCACTAACCACTATTTTACCCCCTTTTTCTTCATTTCTTTTCTTTTCTCTCCTCCTTTCCTCTTAGTTTCTTGACCACTCTCCATCTTTCCCCATCCTCTTTCTCTCCCATTCTCTCACCCTCCTCTCCCCAAACTGCCACCACATCATTCCCCCACCTTCCACTTCCATCTTTTTCCCTCTCCCACCTATTTCTTTCTTCTCTCCATCACTTTCTCATCCCTCCTTCCCCCCCTACTTTGATTTTTCTGTTTCTCTTTTTTTCTATCTCCCTTTTTTATTTATATTTTTTTTTTCCCCAAAAATTCGAAATATCTTCTTTCCCACCTTCTTTTCTCATTTTCTGATTTATTTTATTTATTTTTCTATTTATTTTGAAAATTCGATTTTCTCTACGGCAACCCTAAATCTGATTAGGTGTTACCGTGTTAGTCTTTCTTGCTTTCGGCACATGTTTTGACCCCGTGGGGGTAACGAAGTGCTGCCGAAATTTTCTGATTCTCCCTTACTTAGTCTTTTTTGGCACACTTCGACCCCATGGGGATAACGAAATGCTGCCAAAATTTTTGACAAATTAGATACTTCATTCCTCCCCACCTCCTCATCCACTTATTTACTTCTTTATTTATTTATTTATTTATTTACTTATTTATTATTTTTTTATTTATTCTCTGAAATTTCTTTTTTTTGTGGCATCTTGACACCTAGTGTGCTCACCCTGGTCTCTCCTTTCCCCTTGGCACATTCTTGACCCCGTGGGGGGTATGGAAATGCTGCCGAAATTTTCAAAAAAATAAATAAATATTGTTTTTCCTTCACATCTTTTTACTTATTTCTTTAATTATTTTTATTATTTATTTATTTTTTTATTTATTTTTATTTTCTCTCGAAATCTCGCTGTTTATTTATTTTTCTCCCGCCTTCCCCCCCCTATGCTCGCTATTTTACTTTCTTGATTAGGTCACCCTACCCTACCCTAACCACTTAAACTTCGGTTAGGGTTTTCTTAGGGTTTTTGTAGGGTTTAGGGTTCTTCAAAATCCCCCTACTTCCCCGTCCTCTTCGGGCACCCTGGAACCGAACCACCCCTCCCCCTTTGACGGTGCCCATGCTAGCCTTGCTAGCGCCGTTCGCCGCTTTCTACCGCGGACTTCCCCCTACGCCCTCCGCTCACGCGGACCTCTTCTGGCCCCCTCCAGTCCGGTCCGTCATCTCCTCATGGCCGACGGTGTGTCACACGCTGCCGACACGGTGATGACCACGGCATCGGACTCCACACCCGTGCCGGCGGACCAGGGCCATTAGCCCCAGGGGGATCTGCATACCCTCCTTACCTCCCTCCTTGTTCCCATCCAGGCGCAACTCGCGACCCTTGCGCCTATCCAAGCGCAACTCGCGACCCTCACGCCCTTACAGGCGCAGGTGGCGACCCTTGCCGCCAGCATGCAGCAACTCCAGGACGTTGGTCGTCCTTCCTCTCCTCACCCTATCTCTTCTCCTGGCTCCCAGTCCGGGTCCCCCGTCCTCCAACAGGGTGGCCACGGTGGAGCTTCCTCCTCCGCTGCCCCCGACCCGGCCATCTTGGTGACCGTCCACGCCCCTAGCACGACGGCCGCCACGAGTCAGGTCCTCCCTTAGTCTACGGGCGCACCCGCCCAAACCTCGGTCACTACGGCCACGATACCACAACCCGCTACCATGGTCGCAGCTTTTCCGAGTGCCCCACTTCTCCCTCCTCTTCGCATGACCGCAGCGCCACCTGGCTCTACCCCTTGTGGGATGCCTCGCGCCGCTCATCTGTGTCCCCCTGCCACACCCCGCTCAACCTACGCTCGAGGTCTCGAGGACGAGATCGCCCAGCTCTGGACCGACCTCGCCCTCTCACGCCTTCAGCCATCCCCACCCTCACAAGTGGCCGCGCCTTCTGGCGCACCCCCTTCTTCCTCTATTCTTCCTTCCATGCAGGCTCGCTTCCCTCACCCTGCACCCTACCCATCCCCATCCTACCTCCTCTCCATCCCCTCGGTTGCTGCGACCTCTTCTACCGCAGCTCCCGCGCAGCCTGTCGTTGTTTCCCCTGCCACTCCACCATGCGGCCCGGGCGTACAGTCAGCTGCGCCTCCTCCTCCAGGAGCTGCACCGACTTATTCCACCGTAGCGCAGTTCCCTGCTTCCCGTTCCCCTCGCCGCCAAAACGGTGCCGCACCACTCATCCGCTTGTCGGATATTGCCTTGTATGACGGTACAGGCATACGCGTATCTAGGTGGCTGCAGTCTGCCACCCGCACACTCCAGCTCATGGGCGACACACCCGACACGTGGGTGTATCACCTCTCCACGCGCCTACGTGGCGGTCCTTTCGAGGCCTGAGAGGATTTCTACGCGACTCCCTTCGTGAGGGTCGGACCCCGACCTTCATGGATTTCCAGGCGTTCCTCGAGGATCGCTTCGGCGCCCGATACGACATGACTGACGCCTTCGAGCGTGTCGTCACTACACGCTGGTCCGGCTCTGGTGGCGCTGCCGCTCTGGATGGCCACATCCAGGTCTTTCAGGACGCCCGCCTCACTTATGACGTGGCGTTCCTCCCCGAAGCTGCCCTTATCGATTGTTTCTTGGCCAGCCTTCCGCTCGAGTACCGCTCCGAGCTATGGCGGTACGAGTTCACATCAGCCCCGCACGCTTACGAGGCTGCCAAAGACCACCAGCGGATGCGAGCCCGTCTTCACCCCGCCTCCTTCTCCCAGCCTTAGCGCAGGGGCTACGCCTCCTCCTCCTCTCATGACACTTCCCAGCGCTGTTCCTCTTTCTGCGGTCGTCCCCGCCTTTCCACGCAGCAGGGCAGCCACTTCTCGCACCGCTTCTGCACGCTCGAGTATGGTGAGTAGGACGCTGGTGCTCCGATGTCACCAGAGGGTGACCATAGCGCCGACCTCGACCTCGGCGAGGCCGTCCACCACCACCTGGAGGACCCTACTCTCCTTGTGGTTGAGCGCCTCCAGCTCATCCTTTCCACCCTTTCCTGGGCACGCAGTCGCTCCGGTCACGCTGGTGCGTCGCCCCCCGTGGTCCCTCAGGAGGACCTCCCTCAGGGCTTCATCCCTCCTCGCGGTGTCCTTTCCGCAGAGGAGCGCGCAGCTATTCTGGGTCGGCGTGGGTGTTTGCGATGCCGCTTGGACGGTCATACCTCCTCGCGGTGCCCTTACACTATCGCCCTCGACCGCCACTACGCTGACCTTTCCCGCCAGCGTCGTGCGTCGTCCCCCCCCGACGCCTCTCATCCCCGCGGCGCCTCCTAGCCACGGTGCAGTGTACACCTGCGCCCTCCTCAATAGTGGGCTTCCCGACATCTCCGTCGTGGTTCGCCCCTCTCGCTACAAGAGTTGAGGTATCGCAGGACTCGACAGAGTGTACTCAGCCCCCTGTCGCAGTACCGTCTGCGCCTCCGCAGACCACCGTCTCCCCTCCTTCCCCGCCGCGACTACTGACGCGTCGAGCCATTCGCTCAGCCCGTTGCAGC